GGCCAGGAGCAGACTTGCAGAATGTGTCCTTTGGAGATGTAAATTATTATATATGTCTGAGTGGGTTTTTTTGTTTGTTTGTTTGTTTTTTAAAAAGCTAAAGTGGATAGACAGAAATACTGTTAACCAATGGTACATGGAGGGGATTATAATCAATGTAATGAAACAAGGTACATGATTTGTTGAATATAAAACTGATGCTATGCCCTGTAAACTTTCACTCAATCCAAAATAAAAACCTTTAAAAAACAACAACAAAAACAAAAATTCTTCTAATCTCTTACTTCTAAGTTTCAGACTAAAGTAAGGTTGTATTTTATTTATCCAACAAATAAGAATGAACATAAAAGTAGGTGTAACACCTGAATTGGAGTGACTATAGTCTAGAGATGGCAATCAGGTTTGATATATATTCAGAAAAATAACAAATGCTAAAAATCCATTGAAGTTCAGATTTACACTTAAGGAAAAGTAGGCTGAAGTTCAATTTTATAGTTATGTAAAAAAATAGCCATGTTACACACTGTAACCCAATTCCTATACAGAGAAAATGAAATAATGCATTGTTTTTATATCTACCAGAACACCAATTTAAAATCACATAGAAAATGAGGCAGAGAGCATTTTACCTGAAGACCGATGGGGCCAGGTGGTCCAGGGAAACCTCTTGCACCTTCATCACCTTTTTGCCCAAACATTCCCTGTTGTCCCCTAGGACCTGGCTCACCATCACCACCCTAGAGAATAACAACAAAATTCATTACAGACCAGGAGACTAACTGATCAAACAAATTATTATAACAGCGTACTAAGTAATGTAAAAACATCACCAACAAAGAAATAGTATTCAGAATTTATTGCATACTTAGTTCTCAACTGCTTAATATCTATTTCAAATAAAGTCACAATGTTTTTTTCTTATAGAGATCAGCTTGGTTAACTATATTATATAACTTAAATTTGATCTAGGTTGAGCATATAAAGATAGTGAGTCAGTACACAAAATCATCTGGTTCTATAAAAACTCATAAATGTACTCAGGAAGTTGTAATGATTTAGATTTTCTGAACAAAGTGGGATACTCACAGAAATTCCAGGAGCACCGACAGGGCCTTGTAGACCTGGGGGACCAGGAGGACCCTGCCAAAAGATAAAAATCAGTAATGTTAAAACAGAAGCCAGAAGAGCCTCAGCTATATGACTCAGGACATTTCTCTGGTACAGATTTAATAAATACCTCTCCATGTCTTTGGAAAAAGGAAGATCAATGAGAATTTTTTTTTTTTTTTTTGCATTTTGCATTTTGCCAAGTCAACTATTATTTATTTTGTTTCTTGAGCTTCACAACTGTATACTTGCAGCCAGTTTTAAATTGAAAAACACTTTCATTTGTAATGTTGTAGATATTTAAAAATGGATATACTACCATAGGGCCCTGATGTAGCATTGTCTGAGTGTGGCACTGTAGTATAAGCATTGAACTGCAAGATCAGTTTGAACCACAAGGTTAGTGGTTCAAACCCACCAGTCACTCCTTGGAAACCCTATACAAGGTCACTATGAGTTGAACAATTTCCACAGCACTTAACAATAACAATTAGGGTCCTGGTGTGGCACTGTAGTATAAGCACTAGACTGGTAACTGAAATGTCAGCAACTCAAACCCACCAGCAACATGCTACCATAAATCAAGTTGAATATTTACATGTGAATTTTTAAATTTTAATATCAGGTTTCTTTAATGAGAAATGTCTGAATGGGAAAGAGTGGCTATGATCCTTGGCCCTTTAGGAGTACCTCAGACATTTTTAAGGTTTCCTAAAGGCCAAACTTATTTTCAGAACCAATACTAATATACTAATTTTTCCTCCATAACATAGGCAATTGTATGGATGATGAAAATCATTAGTGGGTAAATCATTGGCACCCTAGCACAGATCATGAAATACCTTAGCACAAACTGTAATACTAATGGTTGTAGTATTCATCATCATGTACTTTCATTTAACATGAGAATGGCTTGAGCAGCAGATATAAGAATCCATATTGTTTTATAAAGCTGGACACACAAGGAAATAAAACATTGCCACTCATCTCTCTAAATATTTTTGTTTTGGGGAAAAAGACAGCTATTATTCATTGAAAATGTTATGAGTATATTATGGTTAATCTTAAATTAACCAGCAAAAGTATTTAATATTTCTTAGTTTTAATTTGGTCACATAGACAAAAGCTTTTCAGATTCCTCAATAAATGTCTAGGTGTGCAGAAAGGTCTTTATCATTAAAAGAAAAAAACCCAAAATAACATAAAACCCCATTACCATCAAGTCCATTCTGATCCTGTAAGTCAGAATCCTCACAGATTTTCTAAGACTAAAAGGAGCTCTGGTAGCGTAGGGGTTACGAATCAGGCTACGAACCTTAGGGTCACCAGTTTGAAACTACCAGCTGTTCCATGGGAGAAGATGAGGCTTTCTGCTCCCGTAAAGATTTACAGCCTCAGAAACCCTGTACAGGGTCGCTATGAATCAGAACTGACTCCACGGCACATAACAACAACAACAAAAACAACAATCTTAAGAAAGCAAACTTCATCTTTCTCCCACAGAGTTTGGCTGTTGGAGCAAACCACCAATCTTTCAGTGTTTAACCAAATGCTTAACAGTGCATAACCAGGGCTCCTTTCATTTGTCATAGAGGACTTAAGATACATGAGTTAAAAATAAATAATGACTATGATTATCATACTAGCTTTTTAAAACTTTATTCAATCCCAGATTTATATAGAAGTACATAGCCACAGAATTTATACAGTATTGATGTTATTATCCTTGGATAGGAAGTATGTAATACTATGGGAAAATTGTGAATAGTAAAAGGTATAAAGGTTATTAAATAAATAATGCTTTTTAAACAAGAAGTAGGAAACTTACATTTTCTCCTTTGTCACCCTTGCTGCCTTTTTGCCCTGGTTCACCAATTTCACCCTTTAATTGGAATATTTGAGTTAGTTTATCTCTATCACTTACAATTGTCATTGCAGCTCCATGATTATCATTTGGATTTTTAACTAAAGAAAACCAACCAATTTTGTCTCAAATATCACCAGGATAAGCTAATCATAATAAAAGTACAATAATTTATACAGAACTTTAATTGCAAATTAATCAATAATCATTTGTTTTCCTCCTAGTTTTCAAAGTGCTAAAAGGATGCACATTATCAGAGTATTAATCCACAAAGATTCTATACAGTAATATTTAAATTACATTATTATTTAAAAATATATTGATTCAAACACTTAAAAACAGAGCTATACATTCACAATAAACATATTAGAGTTTTATGTTAGTAAGAGACATGAAAAACATGGTTGTGAAATAAATATGAACCTCATTCTTAAATCTTACTGTGCGATATCCTTGGCATAAAGACTAAACATACATGATTGATTCCTTTCATTTTATACTTATTTCAGGAACAACAAGTTTAAAAAAATAAGTAACTAAACTGGTATTATTTTTGTTGTTCTTTTATGTCGTTTTTCTGTTTATATACCACATTCTATTTAATGGAATAAATACTAATTCTTTAATATAAAACTGGTAAACATATTGAAGGGGTAAGGAATATTGAAAAAAGTATGCTTTGATGTGTTATCTAGCCTTTTATTATTATTATTATTTTAAAGACAGCATTCAGAATTCTTGGTGGAATTTTTTTTTTTTTTCTGAAGTACTAAAATGAATAAAGATACCAACCTTATCCCCATCTTCTCCAGGGGATCCAGCAGGCCCAGCAGGCCCAGGGAGGCCCACAGGGCCTTGCACACCATCTCTCCCTGCTGGGCCTTGGGGACCTTTTTCTCCCTGTAATGAAAATCCAGTAGATAATTTATTTCTTATAGGAAACCTATAGATTAACCATTTGTTACAAGTTTTCAGTGCAGCTGACTATTTATACATTCATACACTGGCTTCTATAGTCAATAAGGAAACTGTTTGGTATCTCTAAGGAAGGAAAAAATCCAAGTAGTAAATGACCACACAAAAAATGTTTATATTCTCTATTGCCAGGATTTCATAACTTTTGCATAAAACAATATTCCTGATGGCACTCTTTGGTTCTTTTATCCACTTATACAATCTGGGAATCTATAAATCATTAGGTTCTATATTTGTATTACTCCTTCATCCCCTTTACCCCACTCCTCAGTCCCTTCTCTATGATTACATTTTATTAGTTTCATATCTGTATTTTTATTTATGTTCATATAATTATATCTCCATCACTACCCCTTATTCAAAAATACTAGTATCTTTGCCTGAACTGATAAAAACACCACTTGCATTTTCTACATCTAGTCTTATCTCCTTCCAGTCTATTTCCCACACTATAACCAGAGGGCTAGTCTGATAACGGAGTCCTGGTGTGGCGCTGTGGGTTAATGAGCTTTTCTGTAAAATCAGTTCAAACTGCTATGTCGGTGGTTCAAGCTCATAAGCTATACCTTGGAAACCCTATACAGGGTCGCTATGGGTCAGAACTGACTCGACAGCAATTAACAACAGCAACAATAATGGAGTCTTGGTGTGGTGCTATAGTAGAAGCAAGCGATGAACTGCAAGGGTGATTTGAACGCCAAGGCTGGTGGTTCAAACTCACCAGCTATTCCTTGGAAACTCTATATAGAGTCGCTATGAATTGGAACTGACTCGACAGCATTTATCAACAATCAGATAATATTATCACCATTCTAAGGAGCTCTGGTAGTGTAGTGGTTATAAATAGGGCTGTGAACCTAAAGGTCAGCAGTTCGAAACTACCAGCCGCTCCGCAGGAGAAAGATGAGGCTTTCTGTTCCTGTAAAGATTTATAGCCTCGGAAATCCTGTACCGGGTCGCTATGGGTCGGAACCGACTCGATGGCACTTAACAACAACAACAACAAGGTCAAAATACTTGTTTATCATTACTCCTAAAATAAAGACCAACTTGCTAATGTGGCCTATCATGATCTGATTCCTACCACTAGCTCAGCCATAGCTGGTCTCCTCTCACCTGGCTTCCTGCATTCCAACCTCTCTACACCTTTTTTTTTCCAGTCCCATATGGTGTATATCATGCCTCTTTAAGTCCCATATCCTGATTACAGGTTGTCCCTTTAGAATGGGATGCTTCCATGAGGACCCTTCACACAGTGAATTCCTTCCATTTTCATTTATATCTCAACACCAATATCCTTTCCAAGAAGAGGCAACTATCAATCCCCTTTCTACTTCAGATTCCTCTATTGCAAAGTGACATCGATCACTGTCATTTCCAACATAACACTATGCAGTGTTGTATTTACATATTTATTTGATGAGTCTTTGATTTTTGTCTCATTGTTCTACTAGGCAGCAAACTTTGTAAGGGCAGCAACTGTGTGCTTTTGTATTTTAAGGCATCCCCAATGCTTTTGGCCTAACGAAGCCACTTTAGGAGCATCTGTTATGGTGTTTAAATAATACATAATATCAGAAATAAACCAATCTTTATAAAACAAAGTTAACTTGTTGACTCTGACTTAAGACTTACTGATTTCTATATAATATTGTTTTTCAAAAATATGCCCCTGGTGTCACCTTGGAAATCTTATTTCCTTTAATTTAAATAGCATGTCATCTTAAACCAATCTATAATTATAAGAACTTCTGTACATAGTGAACTGTATTACTTTGGATGCAAAATGTGACTCAGATATATGCCCTTTATTTGATAAATCTCCTTGCTACCATAAATTTAACAGTTGACTCTTGTACAAGGATGTTTATAAATAAGACAAATCAATTTCAGCTGCCTTCATTATAGACACATAATCTCCTGCTAGGAAACACTAGTCATTTACTTCTTCAGACTGTGTCCTATGTGGAGACAGGAAAAACCCTTCAACTTCTCCATATCAGTCTACATTTAGAGTCTCCATTTATAATTCTGTAAGGTGACTTAATTCTTCTTCCATTATGTATCTCCTGGATCACAATGTACATGACTACTAGAAATAGCCATCTCTTCATAAACCGTCACCACTTTTACCCATGTATTTATACAAGTAACTAAACCTTTACCAAAAAATGCACAGCCACTGAGTTATTTCTGACTCAGTGATCCTAGAACGTAGAAGAGAACTGCCCCATAGGATGTCTAAGACTGTATATCTTTATGGAATCAGACTTCCATATCTTTCTCTCACTGAGTGGCTGCTGGTTAAATATATCAACATTCAGTTAGCAGCCAAGTGTTTTAACATCTGCATCATCAGAATCCTTAGCAAAATCTTACCTCTGGAAAGTGGACAGAATTAGCTACATTTTTCCACTTGACTAGGTATGGTCTTGTTTTTAGATTGTACCTACAGACTAAATTTTTACTATAATTCAGAGAATCTATCTATTCCTTCTTACTTAAAAGGTAATTTATGCATTTGTTATCTGTTTATTTATTCATCCTTTTTCATGAAAGCTGTGTTTCGCACACTGATAATAATACCAATTATTCATTGAATATAGTCACCATTCTGTAAAGATCTTTAAAAATGTCACTTTATCTAATCGTTAGAAAATACTGTGATTGTCTTTTGTTTTGTTTTTAGAGATGAGGAAACAAATCCTCATTTTATTGAGATGTTTAATAACTTAGTCAATATCATGAACTAAATAAATGATACAGTTAAGTGCCTTATGAAATTAGACTGGTTTCAAGTCAGCAGCTTTGGTCTACTTTGTGTCTCTTAACTCTCTCAATATTTGCTGATTGCTTTCCTATTATTTATAAAATAGGTCAATATACACAAAGTACGATAAATCATAATGAGTAATAAGAAGACGCAAAGCAGTCTATCTTAGTAGACTGCTGCCATCTTACAGTTCCATGACTTATTTGAGGTGATTTACATTTATCATTCCTACTCCCTTATCATCTACTTTCTCTTTGAACCCCACTGCAGTTATTTTAAAGGTACAAATGACAACCTGGCGAAATTACAATCTCTTTTATCACCTTTTAATACTCTTGATCTTTAGCTACACTCAACAAAGAAGAGCCTTTTTCTCTCTCTTTGCCTCTGTAATGATATACACCTGGATATTTTCTATTACTCATGACTTTCACTTTCTTGCTCTCTTACTCTCTCTCTCCCTGGATTCTTTCAGACCTTCCACCCATTATTCTTCCTAAATTATAGATCAAGACTATGATGGTTAATTTTAAATGCCAGCAGTTTAGCCAAGGGACTCCTGGTGTGGTCCTGTAAACTCAGCACTGGCCTTTGAACCACAAATTCGGCAGGTCAAACCCACCAGGTGCTCCTCTGTAACCTTACACAGGGTTGTTATGAGTTGGAACTGACTCAACAACACATAGAGTTTAGCCAAACACTCTCTAATTACTGTTCCAAGATTTAAAGTAATGCAACATTATGCTCTGGTGAAGCATTAAACTGTGAAATGAAAGGTCAGCGGTTTGAGCTTACTGTTGCTCTGTAAGAGAAACATGCCTGCTTCCATAAAGATTTACAACCACAGAACACCTATAGCGTGAATATATTCTTCCTATAGGTTGCTATGAGTCAGTATCGACTTGATGGTAGTGGTATGGTTTGGTTTTTGAAATGTAGTGTCATGTAATTACCATCCATAATGGAAACTAGGCTAGTGAAGCTAGTTAAACAATTAAAAGGAGGAGTTTCCTTAGGACGTGGTGTATCCCTCAAACTTTAAATAGATATTTTGGCAGAACTTTTTCTTTTCACTTATTTTGGGTTGCCTGATCTATGGATCTTGGGATGCAAGACTGCAGATGTTTCCAATTTGTCATAGAGCCCATGGATTATGATGTGCCAGGTCCTGCAATCCAGTGAGTTAATTCATTCAAGTGAGAGAATCTCTCTTCTCTATCTCTTTCAAATTGATTCAATTTCTCTAGAGATCCCTGACTAAGACGACATGTTCATCTAACATTTTTATTACCATTTTATGCTATTGTACCTGAGTTGATACCATCCTTAAAGAAAACTACCTAATGTGGTGTCTATCACCAAGTTGTTTTCAATACCTATGTGTTGAATGAAAGAACAATTGAATGAACATCCAGGAAGGAAAAGAGTAGTAAGGGAGAAAGGACAAACTGGATATTCCCTTGTCTTTACCACAGCCATGATGTATCACCAACAATACTCAGGCCCAAATTGGAGCTCTTAAGTTATTTTGCACCAATAATTTCTCATTAAAGTTCATTTTGTATCACTTATAATGTTCTTCCATATTCTTCACTTTCAGCATTTTAGTGAAATCCTGGTGTGGTGCTGTAAGATTAGCAGTGGATTGTAAAGCACAGCGTCAGCGATTCAAACCTACCAGCTACTCCTCAGAACTGACTTGATGGCACTTAACAACAACAATTTTTCATACAGCAAAGGTACTTATCCACTTCAAACTCAATCACTATATTGTTGTTGTTGTTATGTGCTGTGGAGTAGGTTCCAACTCATAGCGACCCTGCATAGGGTTATGAGGCTGTAAATCTTTACGGCAGCAGAAAGCCTCATCTTTCTGCCATGGAACTGCTGGTAGTTTCGAACTACTGACCGTGAGATTAGTAGCCCGATTTGTAACCACTACACAACCGGAGCTCCTTTTCACAATTATCTTTGCACAATTATTATCTTCTTTAATTAGCATATTCTCAATTAATATAAAAAGCCAATATATGGTTACCCTATATTTGTGAACAACTTTGTTTGAAAGAGCCCTATTTAATTTTCTCACATCCTTTCCTGGTGCTCAGTATACCACAAATTTGATTAAGCAAAATTTTAGCTTCTGAGTTTGGTTGGAAACTGTAAAAGTTACGAGCAGGAAATAAAAAAGATTTTTTCCCCAGTTGCTTATTATTAACATCTCAGAAAACAATATCTAAAATTCAACTCTATTAAATATTCAACAAATTAACTTAGAAAGAAATATGTTGCTTTAAGTCTTATATAAAAGGTGCTTTTTCATGTCATCTAAAAATTCTATCCTTTAGTGGTATGGTTCCATTTAGACTTTCTAACTGATATCTGACAGTTAATGGTCTATAGAAAGCAATTTTTAATGACCTGGAACTACCTGAATAATGCCATAGACAAAATAATAAGAGAAAATGTCTGGACAATGAGAACAATCCACTTGCTGAAACAGAAATCTTAATGATAAGGAAGTATTTTGACAATCATAGGCTTAAACTGAATTTTATATGCCAAGGTTTTATGTATGTACAATTATTAAACTTAAAAACATTTTAGTGTTTTATGGTCAGTAATCCTTGTCTACATTTGCTAAATGTGTTTGCATTATAATGTTGGAGATTCTTTTTCTAATTAAGATAATTGAATTTAAAGTAGGAACAAAAATAGTGGGTAAATCTTGTGAAAGAAATATAAACCCAATGAATAGCCTGTAATAACTAAAACATAAATTTTAAAAAGCTAATAAATATAAGATGAAGTAACCGGTCAGCTATTTCTCATCTCATTCACTGAACATGAAAGCCTACATTACAAGACAAGGGCAGATACTTTCTCTGAGTTTCATTTACAGACTAAGAAAATGATTGACAATGAAGTACTACAACAGGAGTGAAGAGTTCACACTTTTCTAATATAAAGCAGTAAGGTATAGTTTTAATCAAAACTACAATTTTATATCTTAAAAGGAACAAAATCAGAAGCCTTTTACATTGATAATATCCAACTCCCTCACAGGTATTAGAGTTTCATAAAGGGTGGAAAAATGTCATCTCCTTTAATTGAATTTGAAATTTTATCTGTTATAAATATAAAAAGAAGTGTTTTTGTATGCTGGGCACATCTGCAGTGAGAAGTCAGTGGGGTACGAAGAGCTATTATTCTTGAATGAAAGTAATAACTTGTGCAGGGTAGCAGTATAATATATTTCCCCCCTTGAAATTACTTACAGGAGCTCCTTTTTCTCCAGCTGGACCAGGAGGACCCTGAGGTCCTGGACGCCCCGGCAAACCAATTGAGCCAGCGGTACCTGCTGAACCACGTTCTCCTGGTGAGCCCTAATATATGGGAAAAGAAGTATTATTAATGACGGAGAAAGATATTGTCTGACACTTATTTAACAGTGGAATCTTATGGTCTAGTAAACAATACAAAAGTAACTGTTAGACAATTGCATGCTCTCAAAGAGGAACAATTGTATCCACTACTTGACACACTCATTTTTGCCCCACTATTATGCAGATATTGAGGTTAGGGGATATTGATGAAGAAAAACCTATTTCAAATTTAGTAAGTTTAATATGCTCGGTTAGGCATTGGGCTGCTAACCTCTTGGTCAGTAGTTCGAATCCATCAGCCACTCCGCAGGACAGAAAAAAATTAGTTTTTTTGCTACTAATATTTACAGCTGTGGAAACCCTAGACCAATTTACTATGAGTCAGAACTGACTTGACAGCACACAACATACAATTTTATAATATTTTCCCTCTAGTCAATATTTCAATATCTGCTTAATCTATGGGAAAAAATTGAATCTGCAAACTAGTGGGAATAGTTGTTCTTCTATTTCTATACTCTTCTTTCTCCAAAAAGTCAGTTAATCACTTAGTGATTCTCAGTGGCTCTCAACTTGGAATGTCTTTAAATTCACTACCTACTTAATTTTACTGAAATGTTCATTCAATAAAAGGATTACAAATAAATTTACTACTAAATTTCCTGACTTATTTTTTCCCATTAAAATCACAAGCTACATATATAACCATTTTAGTTCGGCAGTTATCTTAATGCTGAAGTAGTTAAAATAAATGGAAAAGATGTAAGTTGAAATATTAGTATGGCACTGTGGGTTAATGCGCTGGACTCAATATCAGTTTGAATGGCAAGGCTGACAGTTCAAGCTCACCAACCACTCCTCAGAAACCCTATACAGGGTCGCTATGGGTTGGAACTGACTTGAGAGTATTTTACAGCAAACAATATAAAAAGAAAAAGTTATTTGGTCTCTCATTTTTCTTCTTAGGACTCACTGAATCACTGTTTTAGTTTTTCCTTAATTATTATGTATTTTAAATTTATAAGATGGAAAAATTTAGAGGAATTTTACCAAAACTATGAGTAAAAGACATTGGGCATTTGATTTTGATATAAACAAAAAGTGGTGTTTTGGACTCTTAAGCAAATGTTTAAAAACCAATGCACAACATGTTCTTCACACTGCATATCAATTATTCAAAGAAGGGTTGTGTGGATAACAAATTTTTACTAATGAAATAGTCTATATTCTGAAGAGAAAATTTTAGTTGCACGAGAAAATTGTTTATGTAGTCTGCATAAAAGTACCTAAATTTCTGTCAACGTATTTTCTTTCTGATTCAATAATATTAATGATTAACATGAAAGATAATCAACAAGTGATATGACTGTTAATCAGTAGGCAGACTTTCGATGAGTGAGTTAAGAGACCAGTTGGGCTTGAAGTAAGGACAAGTGAATCCTCTAAAAGTTTATGATTAAGAAGTGTGGCCCTAAAAAACTGAAAGGAATGTGATGATGTTCAACAGAAGGCAAAATACAATGTGACCAGAGTTATTCCATTTTATTCAGATGAACATTAACATCCGTAAGTAGAAATAAACATGTATTTGAGGAACAAATTTATCATGGTTCAATGGCATACTAAGTGACAATAATATGTTTTTAATATTTCACTTGCAAAACCTTAAAACGAATTACTGCCTTACCAAATTAGAAGTGAGTGTTCTTATTTGTAATTAGCTATACAAGAAGGGATACAATTTTGATCTCTCAAGCCATGGTATCTTTCTTTAATTTTCCTTTTAAATTTAATCTCCAACAATTTGAACACAACCTAAAGTACGCTATGTTAACTGACAGGTAAGAGACTGGAAGAATCACAAGAAATTTTGCAAGTACTGAGCCCATATGATTTGCATAGTTTAGAAACAAAGACTTCTAAGGCTCAGGGTCTAGCTGATATGACCTAATTCATTACAAAGTGTTTTATTGTTTTTCCTACAACAGTGAGTACTTCATAGTGAGAATTAATTTTTTTTTTCCCCATTAGATGCTTTCTATCCATTTATTTCATAAATATCGTATGGTTAATAAATAGGAGAAATGTGAGCATTTAAGGCCACTTTTATCAGAACAAGCCCTTTGTTGATTGAGCACATTCTAAAATGAGAAAACTTAATGTATGTTGTTGTTAAGTGCTGTCAAGTCGGTTCTGACTCATAGTGACCCTGTATAGGGTTTCCGAGGAGCAGCTGGTGGCTCTGAACTGCAACCTTATGGTTTGAAGTCCAGTGCTGATACTGCAGCGTCTTACTAGGAGTCCAAAGCAATGTATGGAAGCTCTTATTCTCCTTTGTCCACATAGTTATTCCTCATTACTCATTTAGTTCACATGAGCTCTGCTATACTGATTACAATATTTTTCTATGTCACTATTTCTAACTAGTTTCTTTTTTTTAAATGACAACAAAGCTAATTGTTCTCAGTTTTGATAGCTTTTCCACAGATTGTGCTTCCTCAGCAGGGAATTTTCATAGAGTTATACCTCTTATTTGAAAGAACTCTGAAGTAGTTTGGGTTCATTCATCATTTTAAGAACCTATTCATGCTTGATTTTCTAAAAAAAACATAGGTAAATGTACATTGTAATTTTTATCATATTAGAAGTATGATCTTTCACATCGTCTACTATATTGTAGACATATTCCTCACATAGTCTACTATAATGCTCTAGGTTTTGAATCAGCCTCTTCCGGATAATTTTAAATAACATTTCACACAGAGAATTTTGTCTTACAACTATCTCACTGATCTTTTCATTAATATACTCAAAGAACAAAGTGTTTATTGCATTCATTCAACTAACTGATATAATAAGGTGATAATTCATTTGATGGTGGTGGTGGTTATGTGCCGTGGAGTCGGTTCCAGCACACAGTGACCCTGTAAGGGATTCTGAGACTGTAAATCTTTACAGGAGCAGGAAGCCTTATCTTTCTCTTTTGGAACAGCTGGTAGTTTTGGACTGCTGACCTTGAGGTTAGTAGCCTGACTCATAACCACTACACTACCAGAGCGCCTTAATAATTCATTTAAGGACATAATAAAATTAGAAATCTGTATTGTTTCCTTTTTTAAAGTATATGAGCATGATGACATGTTATAAATTTAAGAGGGCATACAGTATGCCTATAGGAGCATGGTGGTGCCATAGGATAAGCACTGGAACTGAGAACCACAAGGTTAGCAATTTGAGCCCATCAGCTGCTGCTATTTGGGAGAAAGATGAGGCTTTCTGCTTCCACAAAGATTATAGACTTGGAACTGTTATACAGACTCTCTTTGAGTAGGGAATAACTCAGCAACACTTAGCAACAATAAAGTATGCATGTACAGTCAATAGAAAGTTTCACAATTTGCAAAGGGCATTAATTGAATGTGTATTTTCATTAGAAGATATAGTATCAAAATTTAATAAGCTATATATTACCTTAAATTGTTTCATTATGATTGATACTACATGAAAATACAACTTGACTTTTACTGTTTAGTACTTTAAACAGAGCAAGATAATTCACATAATAATTATTTTAAAGTATCTTCAGTAGAAAAATAATACTGATTTGAATCGATGTCAATATGGTTTTTTTTTTTTACAGATTTTATGGTTTTTATAAGAAATCTTAAATATTTTAAATTTTCTTAGAGCATTTGTGGAATCAAATTGCAGATTGAATTTTACAGTGTAGCCTACATTAAATTAATAATAAAAACATTAATTTTCTGTAGATAAAATATTGCTTATGATCTTGTCATAGCTCATAAAGTTTGAAACAATGCATGAAAACAAAGAGACAATTTTTTAATGTATATTTGTGTCCTAAAGTACTCTTATGATTTCTTTTTCCATTAGTTATTTCAAACACAATATAAACCTGCAGATTTTTAATAATAGCAGTCTCTGAGGTAATTTTGTATTTTACATATTGAAATGAAAAGAGAAAATATCTGATGTTACCTATCTATGAGTTAAGTGAATGATGAAGCACACTTGCAAATATGATTTAAACATTCCCAGGCCAACTTTTAAAAGAATAAACTGTGTGAATTCTAATCTCCAAAATTACTGAAGAAGTTCCAAAAAAATAAAACACTGAAATGAAAAATTAACCACTTTATTCAAAGACAAATCTATGCAAACATTCAATTTTTTTATCCAAAAATGGTAAGCATTTACTTATAGTGATCAAAATTATTACATTGCTGAATAGTTCACTATAGTAAAGAAAAGAAGGCTTAAATTATCACATAAATGCAAAAATTATATCTAAAATGAATGTTTGCGTATAACCTCAAGACGAGCTGTTCGAAACTACTATCTGTTGGGGAAAGATTAGGCTTTCTGCTCCCGTAATGATATATAGCCTTGGGAATTCTATTCAAGGTCACTATGAGTCAGAACGGTACTCCACGGCACACACCGTGTGTATGTATGTGTGTGTGCATGTGTCTTCGTGTGACGCTGCCGGTTAATGCACTGGATTGCAGAGTCGGCGCTTCAAGTTCACCAGCTACTCCTCGGAAACACTATAAAGCATTGCTATGAGACTAAACCAATTCAAAGGCATCTAACATTTTTGTTAAGTGCCGTAGAGTTGGTTCTGACCCATAGCGAGCCTGCATAGGATTTCCGAGGAGCGGCTTATGAACTTGAACCGCCACTCTTGCTCTTCAAACTGACTTTGCAGTCTAGCTCATAGATAGATAGATAGATAGATAGATAGATAGATAGATAGATAGATAGATAGATAGATAGATAGATGAGAGGGCTTCAGAAAATTCAAAACAATTTAATTCAAAGGCAATAGAATTTTTCCACAAACTTTTGTAAGCCTCCTCATATTTTAAAAATGTAAATATAGATGGGAAATTATATAGAAAAACTAAGATCTTGAGGTTTATGTGACATACCTAAGATCAATCACACAAGTTTTTTAAAAAGAAGTTCCCCGCCCCCCC